AAGCACTATGCGAGAATTTATGGTATTAATACGGTAACTTGAGGTAAACTGCGTCAAGCGCACCGCAAAATAATGTGGTATCGCCCGCTTGTTTTGAATGGCTGCATCTGTACAGCGGAAAGTTGCTCGTTAGTCTCTAAGATTCATCGTTTTCAGGAAACTCACCCCTGATCGGCTCCTTTAGGTGTGAGACCTCACAGTCAGTGATATTTATTGTGCAATCTATCAAGCAATTGAACACAGGTGGATTCGAAATGAACACACGTGTACCTTGTTAACGTATTTAATGTGATCTCTCAAGATAATTGAATACCTCACCCAATTTAGGTTGTTAAAACAAAGGGGGTGAATACTTTTATTTTCAATATAATTCTGAAGACATCTAAATACTTTATTTCATTTTAAGAAGTAATTCTCTATAATGTTAAAATGAAATCCCATTTAAATATGCTTTAATTTGACTTTCCAACACAGCAGAATGAGAAATAATTAATGGGGGGTTAATAATTTCTGAAGGCACTGTATCTATACTTCCTGTGGCTGTTCTTTAATACCATTGTAAATAATATATAACTTATCTAAACTAATTATCCCAAAAAAGCATTTTATTGTAAATACAAAAAGTATGGTACTTTGCAAAAGCATTCAAACCCTTGAGTTTTCACTCTTGTTGCTTTAAATCTTGCAGTAGTTACACTTTGAAGTAGCAATTCATGTTTCTAACTTATGCAATTCAGTCCACACATTCAAAGTAAAAATCAAAAGTAAAGCAAGAAGTAAAAAGACAATATGCAAGAAAAAAAAACTCATGATTGCATAAGTATTCAAGCCATTCAATGACCATAATGTGCCATATTTATTTATAGAATTTAATGTGTATTTTACTTTGTGTTTAACAGTGACAGTACAGTGTAGGGTCATATGCAGTTATATATAAATCTAATAAATAAGGTAAACAAGTTTGAATTTCGAATGCTCAATTTGGTGGTAAATTATAGGGTTTTAAAAATGATATAAACTATATAAAGAGTGGAAGTTTATTTTTTATCCCTATCATGGAATGTTAGCTTTTGCTACATCCTCTCTCTGCTGTTCACCATTAAAGAACAATAAACCCAGGAGAACCAGCAGTTATACTCTCATGTCTTTCCTTCCTCACTTGCAAGCACAGCTGGGAACAATAAGGGAGGAACAATTTTATAATGGTGATTTTCTATACAGTATGTATTCACACTAGAGAAGGGTCACTTCCAGCTTACGTGAGATTTATAAATTGTAAATTTAGTAAAAACTAAAAAAAAATTTGAGTCACATAAAGACTTGAGGAACGAAACCCTCACATATCACAGAGTGGTCATTTTTGGAAGAGCCCTCTTTTTATTTGAGTAGCATGGCAAGGGGGTTTCCACATGAACCATGACCTTATCTAGCAGTGGTAATAATCAGTCTATTCCGGTTGACCAGGTTCACTCATTAACTGTCTTCTTACTTACCAACATCCTAACCCAGTAAATGACCTAGGCTGCTATCAATGTTATCCCACCATGCTCACTACTTTATAGAACCTTGAGAGTTTGTGGACAACCTTAACTTGCTTCAGGAACTGCTTACAAATGGGGGGAGTTTCCAGCTGCAGCCAATTCTGTGATTTCCCTGTGAGAATCCAAAAAATCCATCTGCAG